GTCAAAAACTTATAGTAGGTGGAGGCAGCATAGAAGAGGATGTAAAATCTGTACAGAACGAGGGGCCAACCATACCAACCAATCAGAATCTTTATTAAAAAGATATAAATTGGTGGGAACGTTTCATCGTATTTTATAAGAAGGTAAAAAAACCACTAGACTTGAATGGTTCTACTGTTATTGTTTCTAGCATATTTGGCAATGCGGCTCAGCTGGCGTGTGATCTTATGATATCATCAAAGCAATTTAAAAAAATCGCTAATATACACTATGCAACTTTAATACCTATTTGTGGACCTTATCAATGCCCGGAATACGGAAAATTTTGCAGAAATCGCCAAGCTCTAACCAATCATCAGGTGTTAAAAGCATACTTTGGGGTTTCAAACACAGCTGCAACGTGTTGATGCAAGATGTCAAATAGATTGTAGGTCTTAGTCTTTTAACAGCTACTTAATTTTCCATACTTACTGAATTATTTATACCTAATGTTTATTAAAATTATGCAGAAACTTAAACTTATGGTAGACGTATGAGACGAAATAACTGAAAGGCATCGACATTGAAGGACCGTGCTTTTCACCGTCGCAATATTATTATTAAAGAAACGAATTGTAATACATTGCTTTTTATATTTTGATATTATTTGATATTTATAATAAAAATAATTTGTTAAACAAGTACTGTCTATGAAATCTTAAATATTCGAAACTATTCGATTTCTTTTTGATACATGCAACAAAGGTCCTTAGATATTATTGATTTATTGATTATTCTAGAAATAAGGGACAATTTTTTAGGAAATTGTTGGTTGACTTTGCTTAAATTATAAATAATGTATAAATCATATATAAAAAGTCAGGCTAGATTTTTTGAGGTCAAAAAAGCGCTGTCGTCTTAATTTATAAGTCGATTTTTTCAGATTTCATTCTTTAAATTTTTGCTTTGATTTGTGGGGGTGTGCTTTCTGAAGTCCGCTATTTTTTCAAAGTGTTTACAAGTGTTTAAGACTGTTTGAGACTTTTTAGGACTGTTTAAGACTGTTTAATAAGATTTTATAGATCTTCTGGTGTGTGTTCGTTTACACGTTTAAATTCATCAACACTTTCACTCTGGCATTGTGGTTATCATTTGAAACGAAAGTTTCCTTATATAATTGTTTGACTTATATCTGTCTAAAGCTCCATTAACCCTCAATAACATATTGTAAGTCTTTACATGCAATAGCTAAATGGGCACAATCATTGAATCAATCAATTTTATCAATCCATAATTTAATAATCCGTCCCTATGGATATCAAGGGTACCAATCTTCTGGACTAAACCCTAGAATGGACAGTACAGAGTGGACAATTATAGGTTAATTAACCAATATAGGAGAGATCAGACATTATTGAATTAAATTACTGTTGCAATCTAATTTTCATCGTGAAGCATTGAAAATTTTACCTTTTTGTCGTATGAACTTCAGTTTTCCTTGTATGAGAAGGAGTTCAATAATTTCCTCAGACGGTTCAAAGTTTTGATATCAGTTTAGAATACCGAAATACTAGTACTTAAACATTTTTGCCGAAAAATTTTGAAAATTACAATATTTTTCCATATAACAACTTTTCAGAATAGGTCTTTATACGGGGAGTGGTCAAAAAAGAGGACCGATCCGAAGCATTTCCAATAGCGTTCGTCCTTGTGATAAAACACATCACTGTACCATTTTTCATCAAAATATCTCAAAAATTGCGACCTGTAGCTTGAACACAAATTTGCGTGGGCAGACATCAGACGAACATACAGGCTTAGATTAGTTCCGATTATGATTCTAATTCGATCGGTATAATAAAAGGCGGACCCATCTTAAGCCTTTCTGCGTGTTACATACGACCGCAGTAACCTAATATACCCTATATCCCAGTAGGGCATAAACCCTGTAGGGCTTAAAACTAGCGCTAATACAAAACAAGAACTATTTAGTTTCAAACAAAAAACATCTGTTTTTTTTTTTGGAAACACAAGGTCCTGTACATTTTCTTGTTGCCAACGTTTCTGCGAAGACGAGGGCCCATGTATCTTGTTGTTGCCAAGTCCACGTGTTGCAAACAGAAACAATGTGGGCACAATAAATATTGAATTTAATAAAAATTAATTGCAGTTTTTTTTTTTTAATACGACCATTCATTCCTGCGGCACGATGAAAGAAAGGAGGAAACAGAAAAAAGAAATATGGTACAGGGCGCAGCAGAAGACTTCGTTTATAGTACGGTATCAATTGATTCCAGGTCAGCATGCGGTAGTGTTGATAATCAAGGCATCTATGAATTACATGGAATAGAATAAAGGAAATTATTATGCACTTTCTGAAAATCCGCCAGCAAGAGAAATATAATACGTAAACTCGAGTATATTACTAGGTGTTTGCAAAAATTTTGATCTGCGACTTCTGTAGGCAAAAATGATAAACAAATGGGAAACACAAGTGTACACAACAGTTGAATTCGATGGTTTGACCTGCCTCCACCTAAAATAAAAGTTTTCCTGTGAAGCTCTGACGCGTTCAACGTACTCACAAGTCAAGGCGCCTCCTGATTAGCACTTGTTCAGGTCTTTGAAGCGTGGCTTGGCTAGCACGCGAGTCCGCAAAATTGAAGAAGTAAGAAAATTGGTCGGTGGGTGGATCGCTGTCAAATTAACATAAGTTGTTTCGACATGATAACGACAAGCTGCCAAAAAAAATTGTAAAATGTTGTGGAAAATGATGGAACCTGTTTTGTTTAATATGTATTGTACCGATTTTTCACAACAAATGCCTTCTTCAAGTGAAAACGCCTTTGCAAACACCTTATACGTACCTTCTTCCGCTGGCCATAACGATCTCAGCGAGCCTTTGGGTAGTGTCCTTTAATTTGAAATATTGTTGATGCTCTAAAAGCCTTCTGGGTAGCGAAAATAGGGTGCCTTGAAGAGCCTTTAGTGCTGCTATGATTACATGGAACAACTGTTTCTAAGACATAAAGAAATAATTTTATGAATTACTAGCATGACTATTATCAATCGACATTTGTCTGAAAATGAACAAACACATATGTTTTTTAATAAAAGTAAACAAAAGCTAAAAAAATTCTCACCGCGACATTTTTATTTTGTTTTTGTTTAAATTGACACGTTTGCATATAAATCGCTATCATTAGAAAAGTTTTTTTGGAATTAAATCCAAACTCTGTTAAGAACTTCTATATAGCAACGTTTGCTAAATTTACGCTCACAGCAGGTGACAAATGGTCTTTGTTTAGGATGAGATTTTCGAAAGTGTTGAACTATTTCGGAGAATACTATACGAGCTTCATTGTGCACAGTAACTTGTCTAAGTCCACACTTTGTTGATTTAATCGCTTTCGAGGATTTTGTGAATTGCAGATCGGGTTCAGCTTTATTTTTCTCTTTGTAATTTTATTTCTCTAGAAAGTCTGCGTCGGATGAACTAAAAGCATTTTAGGCTTAATCCGGCGCACTCTCAACAGAAAGCGATTCATCATCTTTTACTGCATCACTAAAATAAGCTGTCCCATTAATATTATCAAAATCAATTTCCGTGATTTGTTGTTTTAATTGATCGTCCAAATCAACTTTGACAACCTTTTCATCTGCGTTATCACCGTTATCGTCCTGCAATTTCAGCAAATTATAATTGTTCTGAGCATATTCTACAGATTTAAAGAATTGATCAAATTCGAATATTTTAAGCCAACATTTTACATAGGATCATCGAAGAGAGGCTGCAGCAAACCAATTCCTTGTTATTTATTTACATTTCATTTAAGTTCGTTCCGCAAACCTATGAGTAGCACCACTATATTATTATATTACCTTAAATCCTAGACTATTATCATTGATGATTGCTAGCATTGAGGATGGCTTTGTTAAACTTTTGAAAGGCTATATTATATATCTCGGTTTTATTTTAGTGCATTAATTCTATGCTTTCAAAATATTAATGTCCGCCAATCTTCCATTTATGGCTTCGTCATATCTATGTTCTTCTATGGCAAAGGTGTGGTGGATGGGTAGAGATGTCTCAAAAATGCAAGCACTAATACCATATGTTAACAGTAAAAACAGAAAAGTTAAACTATGCAGTGCGGTCCGACAAAAGCGACGTTCATTGCACAAGAGATTCGATCACAGCCGAAAATAGTTATCTTGTTTTAGTCAATCTCATGAAGTTTTATAAATGGAAAAAAATGATTTCAACTCAGGATAAATGCGACATGACAAATTTTAGCAGCATGGTTTTATTGATAATGATGTAGATTATCGTACGCTATAAACGCACTGATATCCTTGACGAGCGATATAAAAACGCCTTAAATTTCTAATCTGTTTCGCCTATAACAATTGTATTTTGTATAACGTTTTAAAACGGTTGAGGTACTATTCATTTCGGTTTTATTTCAAAAAAATACTAACGGCTTTTTCGTACGCCATTGATGTAAGGTATTATTTAGTCGATTTGATGACATATTTCTACAAATGTTTTTAGTTTTCTATTCAATTAAAAATAAAATTTTACCCTTGTTTTCTGACTTATCTCTGCTAATACTTAGTGGAGAAAGACAATATTCCACATATGTACTTCTCTCTCAACCTATCTCTTTACACATCAAATCTTACAAAAAGTGTGTTGTTTTATTTCTTGATCTCAACATATGTATTTTAACATTGCTTTGATTAAACATGGAGCACGCGACTTCATTAAAACTAAAAATAATTTTTATAATCAATAAAGAAAGCAAACACTAGTGTATAGGGGGGTGAGCCGGAACTATAAGGATTGTATAGCTAAGCACGTACATTGCATGTTTTATTTTTATAATGACTCGTCGTGTCGCAACAAAGCAAAAATGTTCTAATGATATTTTTGAGCGTTTTAGTTAACTGAATCATAAAACACCGGATTCCCTCTGTCTCTCTTCAACATATAAACTTAAAAATAGCAGTTTAGTTACATTCTCTTTATTATGGAAGTAGGACGTGTGCAACCGGTTTCTGCCGTCTGCTCTAGACCACCAACATACGAGCAGTCATGGTGTGGATTTTAAGTAGATATATTTACACAATTTTGGATAATTTTTTTTTTTTTTTTTTGCATCCATTTTTAGCGGCTTCAAGCAAAACAGTTTTTGTGCTTCATTTTTCAATGATGCTCTTAAAGATCCCGTTTTAATATTCATCACAATTGCTGTCGTAATCGGTTCATTTTGTTTACTTAGCGGTCTATTTCTATTGTGTTTGGTTTCCAAGGCAATACAAGACGAAACTAGTGAAGCTATACTTTTAATCGGTAAGCAATCTAATGTGATAACCAAGATAATCCAATGGATGTACTGTAAAGAAATCGACAATTTGTAACGCAGGCATTGGAATTTTCATATCATGTATAGCTGGTATTTCTTGGAAATTAACCAATAAGCGACAAATGTCTCAGTTTATTGATTCTATTGGAGCGCAAGGCTTGTAATATAATGATAGAGAAATAACTTAGAGTTTAAGAATTTTATTTAAATCAAATTAATTGTAATTTACTTAGAACAACTAGAAGAATTCTTTCTTAACCAATTGTTTAAGTTTAACTCTTAATCATTTTTAATGGAAAATAAAAAAAAAGCCTTTAAATGCAAACTTTGAAAAAGTTCTAATTGCTTCCCTTTCTTCCTTTATATCCGCGCCGGCGGATGACACCTGCAACGTCGAGAAGGAAGCTTCTGGAACCCCATCTGATCATTTCCACAATGAGTATAAACTTCAAACAACTGAAAAAGTTCTAATAAGATGTCTATGTCCGTAAAACGTTTGACTGTGGCAGTTATTATTCCAAAAAGTTATACAAATGCTGGACATGTTTCAATTACATTTCTTTTCACTCGTTTCTTTCTCTTACTTTTCCTCACCTTTTTCTTTCTCTTCTTTCTCTGCTCCTTCCCGCTCTCCTGCCATTCCTTTCTCCCCTTCACTCTCGTTCCAATGGCCCTTTCTATTAACATTCTCGCCATAGACAAAATGTTTTCGATTTCTTTGCGTACTTGATTAATACGCTGGGTGTGCAAGATTTGATTTACGGGTTGTAAAGATTTAATCTCTACTATGGGTATTGCTGGAGCACTTTAGTGTTATAAGATTTCACGTTTGATGAAGCAATGAAAAATTGCTTTTTAGCTCATTACTCATAAACAATAGTAAATAAACGTACAAAAATTTTAACGCATATTCTGTGGGCGATGTTTTAGCATTTATACATAAAAATAGAAAGAATCGGCCACGATTACCCAATATTATAATGTATCAAAATTTAATAATTTTTTCAATACCTTCATAAAGCGTAGCAACAAGTTTCAAAAACCTCGTAAAGTGTGCAAATTCTTGGCGGGTTTTAAATTTGGAATGCACCTAAACATGTCCGCCTGTCTATTTGCGTAGCTTGTAGCATTTGCCCTAAACATCCTTCCGTTAGCGAAAATAAAGATATTGCCTACAAATGTGCAAAAGAATTTGGAATTGACCTAAATTTTCATGGCACACGCAATTTTTGTTTTGAAAATAGAATAAATCAGCTGCGGGCACTTCATGTTATAGAGCACGTGGTGGATATAAAAAATTCGGTTCCAACCGAATTTTCTTACTTGTTTTTTTTTTCAATTTCACTTTAAAAAAGAAGTTTTTTGCACTTTATTGAATTTAAGAGCTTTACACGAATTACGGATGTAAACAATAAAGAAAGAATGAAAGAAAGAAAGAAAGAAAGAGAGAGAGAGAGAGAGAGAGAGAGAGAGAGAGAGAGAGAGAGAGAGAGAGAGAGAGAGAG